TTAATTTATCCCTACACCCTTTTTCACTTCCACCCACTCCCCTTTCTCCCAAAATCACCACATTATTATCTGTGTCCATGAGTTCTTTTTTGCCTTTTTTGCTCAATCCTCCTCCCCAATTCCCCCTCCCAAAGAGTCTGTCTCTATTTTGCTTGTTAGTTCAATTATAGTGTATTTTCAAGATGACACTTAAGTATCATGTAAATTTCAATTAAATTAAATAGGATTTTAGTGTCAGAGAACACTGAGAAGCCAGTGGAAAAAAATAAGGAGAAAAGTACCAGGCAGGGACACTAAACAGTTCTGCTGTGAATGATTCCCACATATTGGTCTATGGAACCTGAAAGGAGAGTGGTGTTGGTGCGAGCGGACCCAAAATGACTTAACAGCCCACTACTAAAATCATTCTCACTTGAGCCCCAGTCGCCTAATGGATAAGGCATTGGCCTCCTAAAATCATTCTCACTTAAGCAAAAGTGCCCTTTATTAGTCATCCTTCAACCTCTCAGTTACAACACTGATCAAGATGTAGGAGTAAGAAGGCAAAACCTTGGTTTCAAAGCACTCAATAAATATTACGCTATCTAAACAAATTCTTTTCATTCAACCTACCCTAGAGATGCAGACAGTTCTATAGTAAGGACAGCATGAAGTATGAGAAGCAGATATGGAGTGCTAAAGGAAAAGGGAGAAGGAGCACCAGTGCCCAATGGTTGGTCAAGTTATATAATACCTGGTGTAGATGCTTTTAAGAAAACAGACACAATACTTAAAGTGCTTTCAGGCAGGTGGCTTTCTAATTAAGCTACAATAGACTTTATTTATACCTGATGTATTTCACACAAATGTGACTTGGTAAAATAAGCATTTAATTCTACCCTCTCTGATAGAGCCTCCCTTCCCCCAACCGATGGACAGAGTATGACTTAAATGGGATCGGTGTCACGGGCATTCCTGAGCACCTAACCAGGCACCTTACATGGACTGTATATTGAACAACCAATCAGCACCTGCCAAATACCCTAAGCCAGTGGTTGGCAAACTGCGGCTCTTGAGTCACATGCGGCTCTTTGGCCCCTTGAGTGTGGCTCTTCCACAGCCTTGGCCAGTCTATTTTGAAGAAGTGGCGTTAGAAGTTTAAGTTTTAAAAATTTGATTCTCAATAGAAATTTCAATAGTTGTACTGTTGATATTTGGCTCTGTTGACTAATGAGTTTGCCGACCACTGCCCTAAGCCCTTGATTCTAAGTACCTAGGTGCATAATCATGTGCCTTATATGAAACCACCAATCAGCGCATGCAGAGTACCCTAAGCTCCATCCCTTCCCATTCCTCCCCTCAAAAGGTGTGTTCCCCTCTGCACATGGGCTACTCCCCTTTTTGGGGAAGCCCGGCAGGGGTCCTTCTCATCTAATAAAGCCTGTAGTCCCGGTTTTTGGCCCTCTGTCTCATCTTTCATTCTTCACCCTCTCTAATTTGAGACAATCTCAAACACAGATAAGTCAAGTGCTTTGTTTGATTTTACAGATTCTGTCAAGGGCAAACAAAGGGTAATGATCAGGCACTGTCAGTTCCCAAGCTACTGCTTTACTCCCAACAGCACTGCATCCCTATTGTAGATTGAATGAAAAGAAGAGTACCTCAATTTATTGCAAATTTTCTTTTCTAAAAGAAGTCACTAACCATAAAAGAATATAACATTTTACCAGAAAACATTTTACAGCAAATAATGAAATAAGATGAGGAAAAAATCAAGCAACCAACCAAAAATAATGATCCCCTTCTACCAAATTTTCGTTAAGCATAGAAAGAAGTTTGTCCGCCAAGACCAAATGTGAAAAGATAAAAAGAGAAACAGGTGCCCAGCCAGCATGACTTAGTGGATGACCATCGATCAACCTATGAACCAGGAGATGACGGTTCAATTCCTAATAGGGGCACATGCCTGAGTTGTAGGTACAATCCCCACTGTGGGATGTGCAGGAGGCAGCCAATTAATGATTCTCTCATCACTGATGTTTCTATCTCTCTCTCCCAGTCCTTTCTGCTCTGAAATAAAGAAAAATATTTAAAAAAAAAAAAAAAAAAAAAAAAAAAAAAGAGGATCAGGCCCTAACCGGTTTGGCTCAGTGGATAGAGTGTCACCTGTGGACTCAAGAGTCCCAGGTTCAGTTCCGGTCAAGGATATGTCCCTTGGTTGGGGGCACATCCCAGTAGGGAGTGTGCAGAAGTCAGCTGATCAATGTTTCTCTCTCATCAATGTTCCTAACTCTCTATCCCTCTCCTTTCCTCTCTGTAAAAAAATTAAGAAAATATATTTTTTTTAAAAGAGGATCAGACTTTGCAGTCTCCAAAGAGTAGAGAAGTCCGAGATTGGTTTCACTCAAGTTCTTGAAACATACACAGTCTGCCAGCCCAGAAAATCATTCCACATTTTGAAATGTATAAACATTAATAAAGGATGTATAAATAAATAAATAAATAAATAGGTTGAATAAAAGAGTAATCTGTTGTGATCCTAGAAAAGGAAGCTGAATATTATGAACATGTCAATAACTCTAAGTCAATTTATATGTTTAATATAATTCCAACCAAAATCCAGCCAAGTGCATTAACAGATATAAAAATATATTCCATAAAACACAAGAATGAGAAAGCTGAATATAGGCTTTACTTAAAATCAAGAAATGACATATTTACTCTTATAAAAGGAGGTATCTAGACCAAGAGAAAACATAGAAATAGACCAAATTACAGGCAATAAAATATTTGGTGATAAAGCAGGCATCACCAAGATGAGGGTAAAAGGAAGCATTATTTTGTAAATGGTGCTAACTTATTACCCAACTAGAGGAGCAGTGCACAAAATTTATGCACGGGATGTGGGAGTGGGGAGGAGGAGGGGGTCCTCAGCCCAGCCTGCATCCTCTCCAATCTGGGACCCCTTGGGGGATGTTTGACTGCCGGTTTAGGATCTGCTGGTTTAGGACTCTCAATCCCTAGGATCAGGCCTAAACCAGTAGTCAGACATTCCTCTCACAATCCTGGACTGCTGGCTTCTAATTGCTTACCTGCCTGCCTGCCCAGCGGCCCACAACTGCCCCCACTGGCCTGATCGCCCCCAACTGTTCCTCCCTACCAGCCTGGTTGCTCTTAATAATTAATATTAAGGGTCTAGTAATAATTAATGTCGTTTTTAAACATTCGTTTAAAATCTTGCTTGGCGTTGACTTGTATTGACATAACCTTCAAACACGTGGTATCTACAGAATGTGTGAAGTGCAATTAACAAGTTTTGCTTGAAAAAGTTTGTGTTTGGTTTGGTTTTTGTTGCAAAACTAGGGCTAAGAAGATGGCGGATGAAGAGCATATTCGGCACTGCATGCTTTACGAGTTCCAATTAGGAAGAAAAGCAAGTGAGGCTGCAAAAAACATCTGTAGTGCTCTTGGTCAAGATGCAGTTAGCGCCAGAAAATGCCAGCGTTGGTTTGAGAAATTTCGCGAGGGAAATTTTTCGTTAGATGACAAGAGTGGTCGAGGCCGTGTGTCCAATTTTGATCAAGAAGCTCTTCAAGCCGAAACCGGTTTGGCTCAGTGGTAGAGTGTCGGTCTGCGGACTGAAAGGTCCCGGGTTCGATTCCGGTCAAGGGCATGTGCCTTGGTTGCAGACACATCCCCGGTAGGGGGTGTGCAGGAGGCAGCTGGTCGATGTTTCTCTTTCGTCAACGTTTCTAGCTCTCTGTCTCTCTCCCTTCCTCTCTGTAAAATATCAATAAAATATATTTAAAAAAAAAAGCTCTTCAAGCTCTTTTGGTTCAAAATCCTCAAATTACCCAACAAGAGCTTGCGACAACTTTAAATTGTTCACAAAAAACAATTTCCAATCAATTGCGTGCACTTGGCAAAGTCCAAAAGTTTGGAAAATGGGTTCCTCATGAGTTGACCGACAACCACCGTAATCAAAGAGTCACAATTTGCAGTTCGCTCTTCTCTCGTCAAAACCGTTTGCCTTTTTTAGAGCAAATTATTACCGGAGATGAAGAATGGGTGCTGTATGTTAATTTGAAAAGGCGGCCTCAATGGTTGGACAAAAATGAGGCTCCGCAGCCCACGCCAAAACCTGACTTGCATGCGAAAAAAGTGATGTTGTGTGTTTGGTGGAATTTTAAAGGAATTCTTCATTATGAACTTTTACCATCTAACCAAATCATTACAAGTGCAGTGTATAGTGCCCAATTGGAAAGGTTAGCCCAAGCTTTAAGAGAAAAAGAACCCGCGCTGATTAATCGGAAGGGCGTAATTCTTCACCACGATAACGCACGACCGCATACTGCAAGAATCACTGCTGAAAAACTGCGCCAGTTGGAATGGGAAGTTCTCCCTCAACCTGCATATTCTCCTGATATTGCCCCTTCCGATTACCATTTGTTTCGTTCTTTGCAAAACTTTCTTCTTGGAAAAAAATTTAATAATGAAGAATGCCTCAAAAATGCATTGACCGAATTTTTCGCATCAAAAATCACAAGAATTTTACAACAGAGGGATTAAAATGCTTCCTGAGCGTTGGGTACAAGTAGTAGAAAACAACGGCAACTATATTGTTGATTAAATTTTGTTGTATTGTTTAAATAAATTCGATTTAAAAAAGTATTAGAAAACGACATTAATTATTACTAGACCTAATATTATACATCGACAATATAGCCATTACGCAGTTGGACCAGAACTTATAACTATGAACACACACACACACAAAATTATGATATAATAAATTTTAAAGTACAAAACCTATAATTGCAGACAGTATGATCAAGTTACATTTTAAAAGGCTAAAAAGTAAGGGACTACAGAACATAAAAGAATACAATTATGTAATACAAATACAGAGAAAAAGAATCAAGAAAATGAAAGTAATCATAAAGTTAACACATGCAAAAGAAGCTATCAATATACAAACATTTTTGTTAAAGTTCTAATGTCTTACTATAAATGATTTTTACCTTTCTTTAATGAATGTAATGCTGAACTGAAGAAGGTCACATAACCAGGAGGCTGGGGTGAACCACTGAATTCAAAGTACCCAAGTACTCCAGGCTGCAAGAACAAGAGCAGAATTAAGTGACTGAGGTATCACTAATCATTGTGCAATGGGGACATTTTAAAACAAGAAAGACATGTCATTATAAAATGACAATTGTCATTTGCTGCATTTCATTTTTTTAAAAAGCCTAATCACATGAAAAACGTTGGGATTTAGGGTGGACCTTTCCTTCCATTTAGGCAACTGGGTTAAGAGATACAATTGCAGCAGCTTTTATAGGGGGAGTTAATTCAGAGCTGAAACTTCCTTCCCTCTTCTTAAGTAGGTCTTTCCATTCTCTGTTGACAGTTTTCCTATGTCCCTGGTTCAAAATCTCACCATCAATTACAGGTACGGTTCTCACTTACTTCTGTTTGGCAACTCCAGACAAGCTATCAATTTCCTCATAATCTTTCTTAGATTTATTTCTCCCTCAAATTGCTTTCTTGAATGCCAGCACCCCTTCACACTAACTAGAAATCAGGTTAAATCTGATTTGCTCCACTTATATTCCAGGTAGTTCTTCTAGGGGCTCTTTCCTCCTCCACACCCAGAACCCTCTGCAAAGGACCCGTCTCATACTCTCTTGTACCTCTATCCCCCACAAACTTATTTCTCTCTCTTCATTCTACTTCTCTAAGCTTAGGACAGAATTCCCCTCCAGTCTGCTAAACCAATAAATTATCTTCTCCAGATACATCCTGCCTTCCTGTTCAGAATAATTTCTTCCATCTATGAAGGCCTTGTGGCACTCATTTTCTCTGGTTTTGTTCTGTAATGATTGTATCTGTCTAAAAAGCCAAACTGAGATCCCTAAGGAAAGAGTGCTGAGCTTGGAATCAGAAGACTTAAGCTCAAGTCCAAAAGCTAAATGATCTTGGGTGAACCCTTCAAAGAGAAACCTCAGTTTCCTTATATAGCAAATGGGTCAATTTATCATAGTGTTACGGAGAAGAATGAGCTTGACGAACTATTCAGCACTAGGCAAATGTAAAGAATTCTCTCTAGCCCTAAAGCATGTAACATCATGCTCTTAATAAATAATGGTGGAGCTGATTTGATCATTGGGGCAAAATCAGACCCAAAAGATAAGGTAGGAATTTCATCTGTTGGTAAAATTTAAAGTCAATAATTTGTATAAAAAAAGAAAATTTCTGACCTGTAGTGGAACATACTATCTTTCAAATTCAAATCACTTGTTTACTCTCATAAAATTCAATTTATTTATTTATTTATTTATTTATTTAAAAAATATATTTTTATTGATTTCAGAGAGGAAAGGAAAGGGAGAGAGAGAAACATCAATGATGAGAGAGAATCATTTTGATCAGCTGCCTCCTGCATGCTCCACACTGGGGATTGAGCCCACAATCTGGGCATGTGTCCTGATCCAGAATCAAACTGTGACCTTCTGTTTCAACTACTGAGCCATGCCAGCCAGGCAAGATTCAATTTTAAATAAATCACTTGGTTTTTATTCTGATAGAAATTGAGATAGTCAGAATGTTGAATCCTAATACTAGCTAAGAAAATCCAGCAAATAACTAACTTCTAAAACAACTGAGAACATTAGAAAGAAAAGTACGGAAAACAAATTTTCTTTTGCTAAACTCTTTCAAAATCTTTTTTTATTTTTAAATCCTCGCCCAAGAATATGTTTAGAGAGGAAGGGGGAGAAAGAGAGAAAGAACAATGATATGAAAAAGAAACATCCATCAATTACCTCATGCACGCTGCCCAGGTATTTGAAAAACCCCACAACCTCTCGGTGTATAAGACGATGTTCCAACAAACTGAGCCACCCAGTCAGGGCTCCTCTAAAATCTTTTTAACAAGCCAATCCAGAATTGGCTGAAAGAAGAACTGCATACTGTTTGGGTTTCAAAACATGCTATGACGATGTAATAAACCTTACTACCAAGAACAAAAGGAAGACAAAATCTTCAGACATTCTAGTCACTCAGTTAATGTTGTATGCAAGATCACAAAAATGAAAATTAGTGGAAACAAAATGGACTCATTTAAGATTCTTTATATTATAACCAATCTCCCAAACCGAAACCAAATGAAATAAATTAATTTAAATACCAATAAATGTTTCTTTGCTAAAAATTAAATCAGAGGAATTTCACATCATGTTATCACCAATGACTTCACAGAAGTGAACATATGGTCCATAAACACATTTATATCTACATGAATGTATGCAATTACATATATGTTTATATATAGAAATGCACACATGTACAGACATTAATGGAAGCAAAAAAGTTTTTAAACCTTAGTCTTCAAGAGAAACTGCAATAAACATTTTAAAATGTACGAAGGTTGGAGCATTTGCAGGGGTCCTTTGTGGACATTTCTACAGGTTTATTCTTGTTGAGGGCATCACTGCTGCAATTTTCCAAGGGGCTACAGAGCTTGGACAAAGGAGCCTGTCTACAGAACTGGTACTGAACTTTTCAAGTACTTTGACCAAAGAAATTTCATAAACAATACAAAGCAAATATCATATGCAAAATTATTTTCTTTTCATTGGCAAAAACACAGATAAGACTCAACAACTGTATGAGATTATTTAAAATTACATACCAGCTACAGAAACAAGAAAAAGACAAAATATATTTTAAGTATTATTTTTAAAATATTCACCATACTGTGACAATCTATATTAAGTTTTGAAAATTGGCCTGTTTGAGAATGTAACTTAAAATTAGTATTTCAAAATAATAAATTAATATTTATCTGTTTATTTCTATTACAAATTATCACTGAAAAGTAACTAAACTGGCTCTGGTTTTGCTTAAGATCAAAACAAATTTTGCAACCATTTCCCCAAAGTTTCAGTGTCGCCTAACAGAACCTGTATTTGAAAAATGATTACATATTTCAGAGTTCCTTTCACAATTCTTTCTTAAATCTGGAAAAAGAAGAGTTTGGGGAATAAAATTCATGCATATTCACATAAGTAGATTTTCTAGGTCAAGATCCCTTGTTTGCTCATCTGCAAATAAACCAGGGGCTGGTTCAAAGCACAACTGTAACCCTGCCTAATATATTTTGAGGCTTTTAGCACATAAGCCAGTCTGACACTGGGTTATATAGTTGGGGTGCAAGCCCTGCTGGTACAGAAGTTGACCCTCCTCACTCTGCTGCTTACCATAAGTAAGATCACCTGACCCCAGATTCCATCTGCAGTGTTTTATTAATCTACTCCCAGATGCTTATAGCTACCAGGTAAACAATCATGGGAACTCAACTGCAAACAGGACACTACTCAACCCCCTACACCTTGTCTATCTGTTTTCCTTTGTTATATATCTCCACTTTAAAACTCCATAAAACAGAGGCTCTCTCTTGTTCATCACCATGTTTCTAGCACAGAGCAGTCACAAAATAAACATTTGTTAATGAATGAATTGGGGATAAAAATGTGAATAAGACAATACTCCTTTATCAAGTTTACAATTTAGCAAAGGACATAACATAATAAATGCCAGATTATAATTTGACCTAGTTTGTGTTTTTAATTCCATCCCCTAATGTACAGTGTATTCAGTACCTGCTAGAATGAGGTTAAATAGACTACTTATAGGAGGCCAACAAATCCTCATGAAGACTAAATATTTATTTCCTAAGTAAATACTATTTGCAGTTTGGCATCAATTTCAGCAAATGATGTACACAATCTCTAGTGGTGTGTTTTTATCAATGACAATTGAAGTATTTCTGCACTAATGTTAACTCACACCTAGAAAACTTGAAACTATTTAGTTCACGGTGCTATAAAACTATAAATTGACAGAAACAGTATTTATTTGTTCAACATTCAGGCTATTTTTACTAACAAGTAACAGTATAACAGCAGGCAGCAGACATTCTACTAGATGTTTCTCCAAAATACTCAGGTTTTCTGTCACCTGGCAATTTACTCAACACCATGCTTCCATCTCTAAAAGATTGCCAAGTTTTTCCCCACTCTGTTTAAATGTAACACAATTTGGTTTATCATACTGATAAGAATAAATAAGTACATACATGCAAAATCACTACTCTTAAATGGATAAATTATAAATTCATGAAGAGATTTAGAAAATATTTTGGCCCATATGTAACATAAGAATTAAATAATATTGTTGGCATTTAGTGGGTAGAATAAAAGATACAAATCAGATGATTCTGATAAAAAATAAAAAAGAGCCCACTGGCATGGTTCAGTGGTTGAACGTCTACCTATGAACCAGGAGGTTACAGTTTGATTCCTGGTCAGGGCATATGCCAGGGTTGCAGGCTCAATCCCCAGTGTGAAGTGTGCAGGTGGTAGCTGATTGATGATTCTCTCTCATCATTGATGTTTCTATCTCTCTCCCTCTCCCTTCCTCTCTGAAATCAATAAAAATATATTTATAAATAAAAAAAGAAAGAAGCATTACTGATGTAGAAGCTACTGAAACCTTAACCAATTGATGCCTAAAAAATACCAAAATTATGCCCTGACCCAGTGGCTCAGATGGTTGGAGCCACCAACCCAATATGCCAAGATTGTAGGTTTGATCCCCCGCATGGGCACATACAAGAATCAATCAATGAATGCAAAAATAGCCCAAACTGTTCACAAATATCTGGATTTGAGACAAATGAATAAATTGATGTTTCTCTCTCTCAATTCCTCTCTAAAATCAATATTTAAAATATACCAAAATTAGGAGAGCCATAAGACTAATGACTTTGAGAAAGTGACATTACCATCACTCAATCCTATCTCCTTTCCAATCAACTTAATGTCCACCAAAATAAAAAAGGCACTGGGCTATGCTGTCCACAAGTAATAAATCACATTTTCCTGTCTGTATCTTAAATAGGCAAGAAGGACCTCCAGGAAGAAAGATTCTACATTTAGAATAAATGAAGAAAATGAAATTTCTTAACATGGTTTACAATGAGATGACTTAAAGCTCTTGAGCTCCCTCTGTAGTATGCATTGACAAGTTCACTTAAGTTTTTCGCTAATTTCATTATTTATAAGGTAGCTATGATTTTAATGCATGTCTGGAAAGAAAATTATAGAACCTACTCTGTCTCAATATTGTGATTATCATACATAAGAACACTCCCAGTTCTACAGAATAAATGCAATGACCCAATTAAAAATAGCAGATTGAGAGAGAACCAACATGGTGGTATAAATACCCTGTTTCCCCGAAAATAAGACAATGTCTGATATTAATTTTTGCTCCCAAAGATGCGCTAGGTCTTATTTTCAGGGGATGTCTTATTTTTCCATGAAGAAGAATACAGTACACATTTATTGTTAAATGAAAATAAAGGAAATTTATTACCTGTATACAGTACAGTAGTACAGTAGTTGTCAACACAAACCAAACAAACTGTGAATCCTACAGTATCAAGAATTTACTCATTTATTCAATGACAATCATATCATCATCTTCTGGAATATCATCATAACAATCCAATTCCTGAATTTCCTGGTGAATTTCTTGTGACTCCATTTCTTTCAGAATCAGTGGACCAAATCTCTCATGTTTAGCAATAGCACTGTCTTTAAATGAGTACTTCTTGTCAAGGTAGCCTGCTCGCAGTGCATTTGCAATGCAACTGTCAGTGATTTTCTCCCATAAATTCTTCACCCAAGTCACAACTTCTTGCAGTTTAGGTTTCACAAAGTTTCCACGCTGATTTCTCTCCATTCTATTTTCAATGTAGTCATTAATTTCCATGCGCAAATTGTTTTTGAATGGCTTGTTTATTGCAATATCAAGAGTCTGGAGCCGAAACCGGTTTGGCTCAGTGGTAGAGCGTCGGTCTGTGGACTGAAAAGTCCCACGTTCGATTCCGGTCAAGAGCATGTACATTGGTTGCGGACACATCCCCGGTAAGGGGTGTGCAAGAGGCAGCTGGTCAATGTTTCTCTCTCATCAACATTTCTAGCTCTCTATCTCTCTCCCTTCCTCTCTGTAAAATATCAATAAAATATATATTTAAAAAAAAAAAAAGAGTCTGGAGATAGGCCGTCATTCCTGTGGGAATCATCTGATCTATTTTTCTTTAGTGAAGTAATGTCTTCATGTCTTTAGCGCGGTGAGTGCTAGCTGCATCCCAGACTAGCAGACCTCTTTGGCTCCCTCGCATAACAAGCAGCAGCATTAAATCGACTCACTTCCTTATAACTGCTTGTGTGGCCCAGGCTTTTTCAGTTTTAAGAATAAAAACGCCCAAAATACATTCAATCTTTTCCTTCTTGCCCCTAGAAATGATTAAAGGTGGGATTTTAGTGCCATCCAGATGAATTGCCAAAATACAGGAAACATGTGCACTTTTGTAAGCAGTGGAGGGAATGTACACTAAGGAGGCACCCCGCTGTTCAATTGCTGTTTGAGATGATTTGCCCATAAACACTGCAGTTTCATCCATAGCAATCATGTTGGAAAGATTGTATTTAGAGAAGTCAGCATCATCAATAAAGGACTTGAATGCAAGTGCTCGCTTAATAACTTGAGTATCTTCTAACCTAAACAATGTTGTAGATATTCTTAAAGACAGTTCACTTCGCTGAAGGAAATTATCCAGCCAGTGTTGTGATGCTTTGAAGTCTTTGAGGCTATGTCAAACTGTGGTGCCATTGCAAGGGCAAATTCTTGAATCTGAGTCCTATTCACAACCAAAGCCTCTGCTCTCCTGTCAACAACCCATTCACAAATCAGGTCTTCCAGCTTGGAAAATAATGATTGCCGACCTGATCCACACTTGCGCTTTTTAGCATTTCCCTTGTCCACTTTTTCAATAACGCTACCATACTCTGCTCGCCATTTTTGGACCACTCGGATACTCAAAATCTTCTCTTTGCAGAAAGCAGTAAGATTTTGGCCCCAAGAATCTTCCACAATTCCTTTCTTGTACTCCACGGAGTAGCTTTTTCTTTTTCCATATGAATGGCCTGTCCTGGTGCAGGCTTCAGACTTTGCTAAAAATCAATCAAACAAGCTGCAGCTGGTGACAGCATGCCCCAAACGTATCAATAAAAAGCCTAAGACCAGGCACTAGTACAAGACTGCCTTGCTTCAAGCTGGGCCTCACCTCCTAAAAAGCAGCTCTCCCACTGTAGTCATAGATGGTCCTCACAGACAACTGGCCTTGAGGCCAACTCTTCCCAGAGACGCCAACAGCAATCAAGTCTCAACTACAAGTCTGTGCACACAGCCCACACAGGGGGCACCTAGAGTGCCCAACTCAGGTGACTGGGAGGCTGAGCCACTAGGCCCTAAAGGACACATACTACACAAGGCCACTCTACCAATTCCAGGAGACATAGTAGCTCTACCTAATACATAGAAACAGACATAGGGAAGCAGCCAAAATGCAGAGACAAAGAAACGTCACAAATGAAAAAATTGGAAGCAAGCAAACTACTGGATACAAAGTTCAAAACCATGGTTATAAAGTTGCTCAAGGATCTTTATGAAATTTCAGGGATCTTAGTGAGAATGTCAACGACATGAAAAAGGTCCAGTCAGAAATTAAGCATACACTAAATGACATGACAATTTATAGAGATTAAATGGTAGAGAAGATTCCAAGAAGCAAATCAACAGACCTAGTTGGTGCTACCAAAGACACTAGGCCCAAATGCCCTACTTCCCAGTGTAGCTCAGGCCTATCAGCCTACCCAGGCAAAACGGGAGGCAAGATAGTGAGTAGCACGGAAATCCATTATTTTTCTACCTTAAGAGCAAAGAATTTACTCAAATGCATATCTGAGAACTACAAGCAGAACTAGATATTAATACTGCTGCTTGGGGAATCTGCTATCATTAACATATAAATAATATTTCTAACATGATTGAAAAAGCTGTTAATGATGTTCTAGTGAAAGAAATTCTTAACTAATCTACATACAATCTACATAGCACAAAAATTCAACCCATCACTATTATTAAATTCTAAATTATGAAGTCAGGATTCATATGATTTTTATCTGTATCTGGTTACTTAAGGTCCTAATTTTGTTATATCTAAGCACCATTTTTCATTTTTGCTAGTTCCTAGTGATCTAGTGCAGTGGTCAGCAAACTCATTAGTCAAAAGAGCCAATTATAAACAGTACTACAATTGAAATTTCTTATGAGAGCCAAATTTTTTAAACTTAAACTTCTTCTAACACCACTTCTTCAAAATAGACTGGCCCAGGCCGTGGTAGAGTCACCCTCAAGGGGCGAAAGAGCTGCATGTGGCTCGCGAGCTGCAGTCTGCCGACCACGGGTCTAGTAGATTCAGCACTTTCACTTGTTGTACCCAAGTATGACTTTACACTTGCTCCAAAAATTTTTTGTGAAACTATTTTTACATTTTATTGAGATTACTTTAAGCTTTATACTAGTCTCCCAAAAATAAGCTGCCCTGCACAAGCATTGAACAACCTATAAAAATATTTTATCAGGTGTTGAAATTGGCAATGGAAAAGCAGTTCAGATCTTAAAATAGTTATACACTTAAAATATAAAGGAATGTATTTTCAGTTTTGTTTTGCTTTGAAACTACAACTGACAAGAAAAACCAGATACCTCATCATAAGATGCCATAAAGCATCAAATAAAATTTTTAGAAATTTGCCGCTGTATATAAATAAGTTAATTCTTACATACTCTAAGTTAATTGTGAGACAAATTGAAAGTTTGTTAAAAATTCCCAAGTAAAAAATAAAGGTTTTGCAAGCATTCTATTTTCTTAAAACTCACTTGGTCAAACCATCCCTATAATCTATTATCTCAAAAAGCATTTAATTAGGGCTTATCTATAATGTAACTTTTTAATTGCTACAAAATCAGGAAGTATAAAAACTTTTCTATACAAACAATCCAATACAACCCGGTGAAATCTTGGGAATGTAAGGAGATATGAAAGATAGGTACCTCGTAGTTTGAGAGAAAATCTAGTAATTCTGATTGAGATGGGATGTACTGAAGTGGTTTCATCACCCGGCGGACAAACTTCTCAATGTAAACAGCACTCATGGGGCCTTTGTATTCGATTGGTCCAAAACTAGTACCAAAAAATAAAAATAAAAAATAAAAAGAATACACCATGCATTAAACCTGTAATGTATAACTGAAATCATTAACAACAAAAAATGAAAAGGTCCTGCTTTAGGATCCTGACTGAGAAGTTCTTTGTCTCAGGAGACAACTGGAGAGCCAATTAAGAAGCATTTATGAGAGGAAAGATACAGAAGCCATTACAAGCAATCTCTGAAAAACAAATTAATTCCCGCAATATTTCCTTAAAAAAACAAAATAGAAAGGCAACCTTGGAAACTGGCCAAAACCTAAAGGATTCCAGGATCTGAACCACACAATTCAATGTAGAGGGGCAAGCTTTCCATTGAGCAGTTGGCCCTTAGCCTACTAAAAAACAGTTATTAAATATTCCCAACCTAGCCATTTTGGCTCAGTGGATAGAGCATCGGCCTGTGGACTGAAGGGTCATGGGTTTGATTCTGGTCAAGGGCACATGCCTGGGTTGTGGATTCAATCCTCAGTGGGGGGTGTACAGGAGGCAGCCAATCAATGATTTTCTCTCATCATTGATGTTTCTCTCTCTCTCTTCCTGAGATCAATATATATATATATATGGCTAATATGCTAAGTATCTGTCTGGGTAATAATGTTACATAACAATGCCCAACTTCCTCTCCATAGCAACTAGTCTCCTTGCAATTTCTTCAGCTCAGGAATACAACTTGCTTTATAGCCAGGTGCAAACATTTTACACTGTAACCAAATGTCTGTGAAGCATTTTCCCATGCCTCATCTCATTTGATCCTCACAGAAGTCCTGGAAAAGGTAGAAAGGAGAGTAGGTGGAATCCTATTTTCTTTTCATTAGCCAGAAAACGGAAATTTAGAAAGCTTAGAAACTTGACACAACTGAAAAGAAGAAATGGTGGACCTTGAAAATGACTTCAGGTTTTCTCACTGCATAGAATACAATCAAACACTGCTGCAGTTAAATATTTTACCCTTTGTTCTCCCTGTGGGATCTACAATAATAATCTGCTTCATGTTGATATTTACTGCTGTGTTGCTTACAATTACCTGAAAGAGAAGTTGGGGTGCTTCACTGGGCTGGAAAAAGTTTAGCTAAATCTAAAAGCAGGTCTAATTAAGCAAGTTTATTCTATATATATAAAAGGCTATGTTGACTCATGCATGTATGCTACATATAATGCTCTTGCTGGCACCAATCACACATGTGTTTCAATATGGCACTGTCGATCATGAAATTGGTTGACACTTCTATTATAGAAAAAGGACAAACAGCAACATTAAAATATTTCTTCTAATTAATTCCCTTTCAAAGTGCACAAATTCAAGCACTGAGCCACTAATATTAATTAAAAATTAAAAATAAATATTCACATAGGCATTTATACAAAGGATCACTAATTGAACCTTAAACCTAGTTAGAGCTTTATTACAACAAAAAATTATGTGATGGATCAAGTCAGGAGCCTGTATAAATGATTTTCCATTCCAGTTGTATAGGGGATGCATAAGAAGTTGATTTGGTATTGCTAAGAATACTATTAACACTCAGTTAACCTCCTAATAAGCTGATCAGAATCCTCAAATGGCTTTCTTTGATATTGTGCAATACCAACAGATATTGCTCAAATATAAATGGATGGTATGTGGAGTGGATAAGAAATAGAGTGACATTCAGCAACTCCATAAACATTCTTCTCTCTAAACAGAAACTGATATTAAGCTTACTGTTAATAGCAAGCATAGACAGAGCACAGTAAAGAATTATATAAATGCTATGGTCATAATAATATAATATTTGATTATAGAAATTAACACACATATAATGTGATAAGATAAACACAATTCTTCAGTGTGTACTGCAGAATATGATGCAAAGAAATATTAGCATAAAAAAGTAAAAATAGCATTCTACATGCACAACTGGGAGACAGTTAAGAATTCCATAAGTCAAGACTTATTACAACTAATTTAATTTTAACAATTATTTTAAAATCACCACCAGCCCTAGCCAGTTTGGCTCAGTGGATAGCGCATTGGCCTGTGAACCAAAGGGTGTCAAGTTCGATTCTGGTCAAGGGCCTTGGTTGTGCCTTGGTTGCGGGCACATCCCCAGTGGGGGCTGTGCTGGAGACAGCTGATTGATGTTTCTCTCTCATCGATGTTTCTAACTCTCTATCCCTCTCCCTTCCTCTTTGTAAAAATTCAATAAAACATATATAAAAAAAAATTTTAAAGGAAGAAATAAAAATCATCTGATAACTTATTTTATTCAGCAAAAAGGAGGCAACCAATCTAGAAACCTCATCTATTCAAACAAACAGGCTCTGCTGAATTTTACAGAATCCCAGTACTTGTAATGAGAAGAACCCAGAATGCAGGATGGGGGACATGTTTTAGCAACATGCTATAGTCATTGCTGTAGGACAAGCTGACCTAGGGCTGCTTAACTCCATATAGTGTTTTGAGAAACTACTGCCTCAGAGCCTTTATAACTAGTATTAATATATCGCTTCTCGGCCTTTTGGCTAAGATCAAGTGTAATAACTAGTATTAATACAAGCCAAAAAAAAAAAAAAATGGAATCTATGCTCCCTTCGGCAACACATATACTTTAAAAAAAAAAAAAAAAAAAAAGTGGAATCTAGTTTCACAAAACAGAAAAATCTATTAATTTATTTAAGCAGCTACAACTAGGTAAGTCATTATACAAACAGAAACAACACACACAACAGTCTATCCAGTGATAAGACAGACTCAAGGTTCACATTTGCAAGCACATTAACCAAAAAAAAATCTCCAAGACTACCAAATACTCACAAGAGAGTTTAGTTAAAGAAACACATTCATTCATATGTGTTTCATGTAAAATAGAGGGCTTGGAGATTCTTAAATAGAATATGAAAAGGCTACCTTTCAGATATTTCTGTGCTTTAGCACTTTCTTCTGTTTTTGAGACATTGGGAATGACTTAAACAAGTAAAAATTTAACACATAAAGATGAGGGGCAAACACTTCAAGATGAGTACTAACCTCAAATTCCTCATCTATATAATTAGAGGAGTGGACTAGATTTTTCTAAAGTTCCTTCCATGCCTTTTCAATCTTTCTATAAAACTAAGAAAACAAACAGCGTAAGACAACAATGCACACGCCACATAAACCAAAATGACATTTTGCACTCTATTAAAGGGAATTCTTCTAATCTTAATGTCACATCACATTAAGTTCAGCTCTGGCAACTGGCTTGGTTACATGTAGTTGCAAGTCTTTTATTCCCTGCTAGGCATCTGTGTCCTATTTCCTATTTCCAAGAAAAGAAATGCAGGAACCTTCATGAGGCAAGCTCATTATCCCTTTGACAGAGCACAGAGTTTTAGAACCTTCAAGCATAGCACCTTATACTTATCTTAAAAAACAAAAAAAACACAAAAACAATTTATAAATAATTCTTTGGTAGCAGATTCATTGTGTATTGTATATTCTATATTACCTAATAAGAAAAAAATTGATCAGGTATTTTTAGGAAGTACCTTAAACCAGTCCTTTTATAGTTTATATTTACTAGCATTTTTATACACACACACACACACACACACACACACACACACAAACACACACACACACACAATCACCTCTAAACATCAGGATGCCTTAATCAATGATTCTCTCTCATCATTGATATTTCGATCTCTCTCCCTCTCCTTTCCTTTCAAAATCAATAAAAATATATATTTTAAATAAATAAATAAATAAAATGGAGCCCTAGCTCAAGCATATCAAACTCAAAGGCTAACATAGGCCAAATAAACAAGGTTTAAGTTTATATGGGCCGCAAAAAAAACAAATAGAAATGTAGGTTTATTTTAATAGAGACATGCTGAATAAAAAGAGCTGAAATAAATGAGTAATCATTAACATAAAATAATAGAGCATTTCAATAAAGTTAATATTTTTTCTTGAACATTAACTTACCAGACACTGAATAACGATACAAAACACACAAAGACTTTTATTTATTTTTATACCACAAAACACTTTTAGAATATTTGAAATGTACAGCCACACAAATAATCTATTTTCCTTGTTCTTCAAAAGCAAAATATTTCCTGTTGCGCATACCAAACAAATCAGTACAAAACAACTGATGTGGCAATTGGCTGCTAAAATATTAGCTGCTAGTATTAGTGGAGAGAAATAGTGCGCCTGCACATAAGGTGCGTGATTATAGTAATTCGTCACTAGCGAACATTGTAATTCATTATTAATAATTATGTATAACAGAATATTGTAAAAATTAAGTTACGACACTTTTGTTAAAACGTTTCTTACATACCGTTATATTGGCTGGGCCGCAAACATATTCGTTGTGGGCCGCATGCAAACCACGGGTTTGCCCTAGCTGGACTGGCTCAGTGGACAGAGCATTGGCATGCAGACTGAAGGGTCCCAGGTTCGATCACGGTCAAGAACACATGCCGGGTTGCGGGCTCGATCCCTAGTGTGGGGCTGCAGGAGGCAGCCAATCAATGATTCTCTCTCATTATTGATATTTCTATCTTTCCCTCTCTGTTCCTCTCGGAAATCAATAAAAATATATTTTTTAAAAAGAAGGAACTATGAGAAAGTTCCTCTGAGAAAGTATTCATATGTCTAGATGAAAATGTGAGGTTGAAAATGGGGTAGAAAAGTATGTTTTTGCCCAAATACTATTTACAACATTTTATGTTAAAGTCATGGAAGTGTAATGGAATGTGACAGATAATCCACAATGGTAATTTGTTGATGTTTGTTATAAATCTCTATTAAGGTCTAAGAAGTTTGGAGGGAGGGGAAAAAATAAAATCTTAAAATAAAAAATAAAATCTTACTAATCACATCTTCTTTACCCATTTTACTTTCATTAACAAACTTTAAGACAACTACATTGAACAAAGTCCGAGTCCCATCTCATGTATCCAAAATCCTTTAAGTCAAATTTTAGACATTACCCATAGCAATGGCCAGGCAGTACTCCAAAATCAAGCACCAATATTTTTCTACAGCAAAATGAATAAACTGGCACCTTAAGTGAGATAAAGCCTATAGACAGCCTCTTATTACTTTAGGCCAGATGAATGTATTTGGGGACAAATTTAGGTTTCCAGAGCTCTCTGGATTTCAGAATTATGGTTATAGAATTATGGACTTGTACTTTTCTTCCCAGTTGAAAAGATGGTAAGATACCCTCTTGATTATGCAATCCTGCCAACTAAAAGGATAAAGACTTTTATTTATTTTTATACCACAAAACACTTTTAGAATATTTGAAATGTACAGCCACACAATGGAGTAACTATTACTATTACAATAAAAACCATGCTTTAGAATATACGTAATGATATGAAACTTAAGAAAAACCAGTTTAGTCCATCTTTGTGGCTCAGTGGTTTATCATGAACCAAAAGGTCACGGTTTGATTCCCAGTCAGGGCACATGCCTGAGTTCCAGGGTCAATCACCAGTAGCGGGCGTAAACTATTAGCTATTTCTCTCTCTCTCTCCCCCATCTCCCTTACTCTCTGAAATCAATAAAAAAATATATTGAAAAAGAAAAAAGTTTAGGAAAGAATATTACTATAGGGTAATGCTTTGTTTATTTTTAAAGAAGAGGAGATATATATATATATATGAATATAAATCTAAATACATAATGATTATATATGGCTGATAAAATAATCCAGATCCTTTTGTCTATTTATTTTTGCTTATACATATTTTCTCAATCTAGCTAATATTTTAAATGGGGGGAAAAATCACTTCAAAATTGATAAACTTAGTTGGAATTAGAAACATTACTTAAAATGTCTTACCTCCGATGATACAGATATATTACAGGAAAATAAAAAAAATGCTTCTTTTTTCTGCATCTCCCCTGGTTCCACCAACAGTTAATTGCCACAAACAACACCTGCAGAGCCAAAAAAAGGTTTTAAATGACTATGAATAACAACTGAAAAACTACAAAAACGTAAAAGGCAAACTTGTAGCTATGGAACTATTCCTCTCTGAAACAGAAAGTATAAAAAAAATTGTTTTCAAGAGTTCAAAGAAGGTCATCACTGACTGCTGCAATAAAAAAGAAAGACTCCATGCTAGCTTGCCAACTAACAGGATAAAGACTTTTATTTATTTTTATACCACAAAACACTTTTAGAATATTTGAAATGTACAGCTAGGACTGAATACTTTGGAGTCTGGCCCAAGAGGAAAATGATTTCCTTTGAATTCTAAAGTGAATGAGCATCAGAGCTTTTTCTAAGCATGATTAACAAGAAAGCTTAATAGAAAGATATGCCTTTTGATAGTCAAACTAAATATCTGAGAATGAAAAAAATATACAAATCAAACATCACAAATTTCAAGACCATTTCAAATGATTACATTAAAAACTAATAAAAATAACAGATTATTAAAGCTATTTCTAAAATATAGGACTGAATAGAAAAAATATAGATTAAGTACATATTTATAGATGGATGCTGAAGTACTTAAGAAGTGTCCCTATGTCTACAATTTACTTTGAAATGGACCAAAAATAAGATGGATTAATAGTTAAATTGGTGCAAAGTTTTTCAAATTTGGCAGAATTGAAATTTTGGGATTAAATTGTTGTGAGGCTTTTTTCCTTGTTATGTTTGTTTTTGCTGTGAGGGCTGCTCTACAACAAAAGTAAACAAAGGGTGGTGTAGAGTATTTAGCAGTCTCTTTTCCACTAGGTGCCACCAGTGTTTCCCTCTCAAGTACCAAAAAACCTCTCTTTACATTGCCAAAGGCCCCCTGCGGGGGAGGGGGAAAAGACTGCCACTAGTTGAGAACCACTGATTAGAAGGATAAGATGGATAAATACATAATAAAATGTTAACAGTGGAATTTAAGTGGTAAGTATATAGAAAATTCCTTTACCTCCACTATATGTTTAAAAACTTATAATTAGCACTGAAAAAAATATGAAGACTATAGTTATTTTAGGTGGCTTATACTTATTAGATAGCAATATTGCTCAAACTTAGTGGAAACTCTTTACAGCTCCTTTTGGAGTCTATTCATGAGAAAGAAAAGCAAAATATCTTTACTTATGGGTGACATCTCATTTTTTTACCCAAAAATAAGGCAGAATCTACCATTTTACTAAGCAATGTGGCTCAAAATATTTTTGCCCATTTCTGAAAATAAACCTGCTCCTTTTTCCTACTGAGAACTTGGAAAGCAATTAGGAAAATTTAGGGGGAAAGGGAAAAGCAGAGCAGGTCAGTTGTTTATGGCACTATGACCTCAATCATTTGTCCTGTGATCTTTAACAAACTGTTGTGCCCTCTAAATCTGAGGTCTTGCCTTAGAAGAACAGGAAAACCAGTATCAGCTTACAGAGCTGTTGTGAGAAACAGCATAAGGCTAGGCACTCCCAAATACTATTCCTATGTAATCACTTTAAAGGGCATATTGCTTAAGTTGACAATTCTATATAATAAAACCTAATATGTAAATTGTCCCCTCAGGAGTTTGACCACTCGCTATGACGAGCAATGACCACCAGGGGGCGGCACGGAACATGGTGAGCAGCGCTGGCAGTGGGCGGCAGTATAAGTGCCCCTATGGGCCCCAATGAGAGTGGGACCGCAACGGCATGGTGGAGCAGGTGAGTGGGTGGTGCCAGGCCAAGGTGGGAACAAGCAGGAGCCTGATCGCCCTGCAGACTGCAACCAGCAGTGGGGGGGGGGGGGGGGGGTGTAGCCACCACCCAGCTCAGAGGCATTGAGGAAGCCAGGTGGGGGGCCTGAGCAGGTGAGGGGGTGGTGCCAGGCCACAGTGGGGTGCCAGGCAGGGCTGGGGGCGCAAGCTGGGGCCCAATCCCCACAGGCCACCCTAAGGGACCCCACCTGTGCACAAATTCATGCACTGGGTCTCTAGTAAAATAATAAGTGATTGATAGTCTAATATATATTCTTCACTTGTTCTCTAAATTCAGAAAATTTGGGGAATGACTGGCAAAGTGGTGATTTCCTTCATGCTAATATACTACTTGCCTCACAGTGCTCCATTACAGTTCCTGTTTCCTCCCTGGAAGTATCTGCCAGTTTGGTTACTATTCGCCATTTAAAAGGGGGAGGGTGTGTAAAGGAAAGACGGGAACAGATTAAATCCACTGACCCACAGCTGGAACACAAAATCATATCCCACCCCAAAGAATCAGTGTTAAGGGAATGAAGAGTTATATTTAAACAGTAATTGGTACTCCATTCGGGGATATATAATGGTTTAAAATGCTTTACTAGGCTGAGAAGGAAGTCTAGTCACCATTTAAAACACTGTTTCGAAGAGTCTTTCCCTTTTTTTACTAAAACACTGTTTCGAAGAAAAGCCAACTGAGAGTTCCAAATGAACTTCTGGAACTCAGCTGCCTGCTTAAGTAACCTCAAATCAGTAGGTCCCAACAGCAGCCTTTTAGAAGTCTGTGGATGCTTTTTAGTGAATTGCAATGACTAGGGAAAGGAGGGAGGGGGCAGTGGGGTCAGGAAGGCTACAAGGCATGTGGTGGGGGTTGGGCAGGGGCTGCAGTAGATATCCTGCAATGTTCAAAATTGTTCTGCAAGGGAAGATTCATTCCAGAGCAGTTTTAAATGCCCTGCCCAACACAGATGTTGAAGAAAACCCATTTGTTATTATTAGAGCCCAGAACCTAATTCCATTTTATATGTGAAACCAAAACATGGTTTTTTTATACACTGAATTTCTTAGGAAGGCAATTTCTGTGTCACCTGAGGGCAAAAAGTACTTTGATTAGTTTAGAACTTTACCAACAGATGTCCATTGTTTAGAAAAATCAAAATCACCAAGTGCAATGCCCCCATGGTATCAAAGTCCAACACGTACCTTTATCAATCTACATTTGTAACTGTTCCATCCATAGTAACTCTATATAAAGGTACAAGGATCTATTTTGTCCAAGCATTTACAAACTGAAACACATATGATTTAATTATATATGACTTTGCTCCCTTCTCCCTTTAAGTTTAAATAGGTCATTAGATTAACTATTGTGAAATTTTATGTGTAGGAAGTTTTTCTTATCTACGAATTCCTTTTTAAGGCATAAAAAGGAATAAATATCAAATACTTGTTTTATAAAAAGCAACTGAGATCCATTTGGCTTAAAACCACTGTCACAGATAACTCATATGCCTATATATCCCTCTTATCTATTATAAAGGTTGCATTCGTTCATTAAATATCTGTTATAGTTCTGGTCCAAGTACGGGTATTTAAATGTCAGACAGCTACACTGTAGTCATAATGAATAAATTTCTCCTAAATAAAATACTTAACTAGCAAATATCAATGAGATAATCAACTAGGACGTTCAGTTCCCCACCTATAATACTTCAACACAAAAACTAAATAGCATGGCACCTGGAAATGAGCGCTGGCTTAGTCACAGGATGCAGAATCTGTTCCCCCTCCTGCTGCTAGCTGATTAGGATCATCACAATCAGAAATCCTTTGTTTCTTTATAGAAGGCTTTAGAATTTTAAAAGTGCTCCTGGTCTTCACCTTGGCAAAATCAGTCAGTTGGTAAGTTGTCTCTATAGAGACAATCTGCTCTGCAACAGGACTGACAGTCATTTGCTTCTTAGGCCAAATGTCAACATTACCTGGTCTGAAAGCTGAGTCGCTGCTTGATCAACTTCTGCCCTGGCAGCGATGGACTGTCCACACCATGGGGCATAGAAGAACAGCAGCACCACCTCTGAATCCTGGCGAAGATACTCTGCGTAATCCAGCTGACCCTGGAAGAGGTCAATAACCGGAGACCTCGAGGAGAAAAAGCTGACAGGTGGCTTTGCTGGTATTATCACATCTTTTGCTCGACTAAAAAAGAGTAAACACAAACAAGATCACTAAGTTTATTTTCTCCAACAACAGCTTCATGTGGAAGGAGAATGAAACTTAAATATTCTGCAATAAGGCAATATGTAGCTGAGAAAATGAAGATATGAAATATATGCTAGAAATTATTCTATAATATTGTCTCCCCACATGTGAAGTGGGAAGGCAGTGGAGAGCAGAGAATATCTTTGAGTAATCCACATTCTTGCCTCCACACCCAAGATTCACCTCATCTCTCTGCAATCTTTTTTTTTTCTTCAAATTTAATAAATCTTTATTGTTCAGATTATTACAATTGTTTCTTTTTTTCCCCCCACATAGCTCCCTTCCACCCAGTTCCCACCTCACCTTCTGCCCTTACCTCCCCGATTGTCCTCATCCATAGGTGTACTATTTTAATCCAGTCTCTTCCTGCATCCCCCACACCCCTTTCCCCCTGATAATTATCAATCCACTCCCGTTCTTTGCCCCTGATCTCTGCAATCCTGTTCTCCACAGGAGTCACTGATCTCCAGGACTTCAGAGCCACCAGGTAAGCTTGCTCAGAATTAAGGAGAGGGAGCACATGTGGCTACTACTAATAAGATTTCTATATGAAATGCTTACAATTAACTCAATTTTGAGAAAACTTAAAAGCGTATTAACTGGAGTTGATCAGAGGGGCAGGACAGGTGGGGGGGAGCTATAGGAGGTTGGCCAGCTGGCCCCACCCACCAAACAGGCCTGTTCGCTGGCCGCAGTGGGCATTATAGCATCAGTCATTCTGGTCATTACAGCTTTCCGGTAGCTGGCATTATATATATATATATACACACACACACACACACACACACACACACATATATATATATATGTATATGTATATGTATATGTATATGTATATGTATATAAAATTACTTTTCATACAAACCAATATAAACCTACTTTTGCCCACCTTCTATAATATGAATGCATTTATATGAAATCCCAAAACAGACAAAGCTAATCTATAATGAAATAAATCAGCATCAGTGATTATCTAGACTAGAGAGTGGAGAAGAGACTAACTGCAGAAGGGTACTGAGAAAATTTTCTCTCAGCTCCCTATTGGTTGCTTTCATACATCTCACCTCATTCTGTTACTTATCTTACCTTTTTATTATTTATTTACTCTACAAGATATATCATTAACTCCCTAAGGACAAGGATACTGTCTTTTGCACTGTTAGATCCTCATTGTTTAGTAGCTGCTGTTACTATAAAGTTCAGTAACTTGTGAAATGAACAAACCTCCCCTACTTACCTCACCTAAACATATGTGAAAGGAAATTAAATATAAATCCAGACATATTCTATATAATAAAAGGGTAATATGCAAATTGACCCTAATGGCAGAATGACACGCTATGATGTGCACTGACACCAGGGGGCAGATGCTCAATGCAGGAGCTGCCCTTGGTGGTCAGTGCACTCCTACAGTGGGGAGCTCTGCTCAGCCACAAGCAGGGCTAAAGTCTGTGAGCACAGTGGTGGTGGAGGGAGCCTCTCCCGCCTCTGCAGCAGCACTAAGGATGTCCAAGTGACGGCTTAGGCCCACTTCCCACTAGGCCTAAGCCGTCAGTTGGACATCCCCCGAGGTTCCAGGACTACAAGGAGTGCAGGTCAGGCTGAAGGACCCCCCTCCAATGCACGAATTTTCGTGCACTGGGCCTCTAGTGTTATTAAGAACAGTCTGAAAGAATCAAAGTGTCAGAAGGCCTATTTGCATTCCTAGGTATGATTCCGAGGGATGCCTAACTGTGCTTTAACTTTACAGGTGTGCAAATGAATTTGATAATTCGGTTTCTCAGAAAATAGCCAAGTATAATCAATCCTCTGTATCTCTGGGTTCCACATTGATGAATTTAATCAATCTTGGATCAAAAATATTCTTTTAAAAAATGTTACATTGTTGATGATGTGTACTACATAGTTAGGCATACCATGGTTATGTCTGTACTGAACATGTACATACTTTTTCTCTTATTGGTATTTACTCAACAATACAGTATAACAACTATTTATGTAGCATTTACATTGTATTAGGTATTATAAGTAATCTAGAACTACTTAAAATATATGGAAGGCTGTGGGTAGGTTGTAGGTAAATACTACACCACTTTACGTAAAGGATTTGAGCATCCAAGGACTTGGGTATCCGAAGGTGGTCCTGGAATCAAGCCCCTGCACATACCAATGGAAGATGTAGTAGGAAGGAGGAATGTGAAGGTGCTGACAAGTCTGAGATATGCAGCTGACTGCAAAAAAGAAACATATATCTTCCTAGCCGGTTTGGCTCAGTGTATGGAGCATCAGCCTGCAGACTCAAGGGTCCCAGGTTCAATTCTGATCAAGGGCACGTGCCCAGGTTGCGGGCTCAGTCTCCAGTAGGAGGCATGCAGGGGGCAGCCAATCAATGATTCCCTCTCATTAATGATGTTTCTATCTCTCTCCTCCTCTCCCTTCCTCTCTGAAATCAATAAAAACATATTTTTTTTAAAAAAGAAACATATATCAACACCCAAGACTTCGAACCAAGCTTCTCTAAGAGCCTTGGGTCATTTAGTATGAGGAAAAGAGTCCCAGATTCTCCTCTGCATCTAAAAGGTGTTAACTTCCTGAATTATGACGACAGTTTTAAATATATCACTTAACTATTTTAACCAAAAATTATGAACATCATAAATGTGTTAAAAGTTGGAGCAAATATATTAACTCAAACTAAAATTTTAACCTTGCAATCAGGAAGCTTGTCTATGTGAAATATCTTCATTAAAAGAAAAAAAGAAAGAAAAAACCTGGTGGCATAGGTAAATACCTAAACTGCTTCCTTGCACAACAATTTCAAAACTACAAATAAAAGATAAAACGTCTATCACCCAAAACCACAGGAAAGAGTGGAAGTTCTACAACTAGAAGGAAAGAAAAAAGAGCACTGAGATGTGCACAAGTGCTGAAAAGCTGAGGTTCGGAGGCATGCGAATCAGGCTGGCAGCAGGCAACTGGGTGCACTGCTTTTTCAACCAGAAGGGAGACAAGCTCCCGATTACTCTGAACTCGTTTCTAGGGAGACGCTGGAGACCCAAACTCCTATGGGGAGTTGTACTGTATGCCATCTGGTCGGAAAGTGAAGGCGGCTTACTTGAAGAGGTGCGCGCAGCAATCATTGTTTATTGCACTGGGGCGCAGGATGCAGGGACTTGGAAACACGGACACACAGAGATGGCTGACTGGCAGCCATCACTGTTTGCCAAGCACTAGCCTAGTGACTCCCTGCACAATCTACAAACCCCACCCTGCACAATCTACAAACCCACCCAAGCTCCACGCAGCTGCTTTTGCATATAAATGGCCTGCCCTATCGCAGCTTAACCTAATAAACTGCAGCTCCAGTCAGACAGCTCCAAAACCTCCAAACCCCAAGCAAGAAGAGAAAACTGTAGTTCTTGCTATAGCTCCTGCTGGGTGGCCTCAGACAGTAGCGGAACTGCACCCCATTGGAAGTCCAGAAGGTAGTGTATCTAGTGGTCAGTGTGAGATGACACCAGGTTTCAACTACTCACATCCATAAGCGACACATTCAAGAGGCAGATTCAGTGAGCACCAAAGCCCCACTGAAACAAGTCCTACCACATAAGCATATCTCCAGCACAGCAGTTATTCCATTATAGACACAGCAGGTCTTCACAGCCAATTGGCCTGGAGGTCAATACCTCCCAGTGATACCAATAACAATCAAGACTTAACTACAACAAGGCTGTACACACAGTCCACAAAGGGGTGCACCAAGAGTGTCCACCTCAGGTAAGTGGGAGGCTGACCCACTGAGCCACATAGGACACCTAGCACACAAAGCCACCCTACCAACTCAGGGAAGCAGCGAAAATGTAGAGACAAAGAAACAGATCACAAATGAAAGAAATGGAGGAAAACAAACAACTGGATATAGAGTTCAAAACCACAGTTATGGGTTTTTCAAGAATTTCCTAGAAAAGGCCGATAAATTTAACGAGACCCTCGAGGATATGAAAAAGGACCAACTATAATAGAAATTAAACATACATTGACTGAAATAAAAACCATTATACAGAGACCCAACAGCAGACTAGAAGAACGCAAAAATCAAGTCAAAGATCTGAAATACAAAGAAGCAAAAAATACTCAACTGGGAAAGAAAAAAAGAAAAAAGAATCCAGAAATTTGAAGGTAGTGTAAGAAGCCTCTGGGACAACTTCAAGCATACCAACATCAGAATTATGAAGGTGCCAGAAGAAGAGAGCAAGATACTGAAAACCTATTTGAAAAAATAATGAGTGAAAACTTCCCCCACCTGGTGAAAGAAATAGACTTATAAGTCCAGGAAGCACACAGAACCCCAAACAAAAGGAATCCAAAGAGGACCACACCAAGACATATCATAATAAAAATGCCAAGAATAAAAGACAGACTATTAAAAGCAGCAAGAGAGAAAAATAAATAAATAAATAAATAAATAAATAAATAAATAAAAGCAGCAAGAGAAAAACAATTAATTACCTACAAGGAAGCACCCATATGACTATCAGCTGATTTCTCAACAAAAACTATGCAGGCCAGACAGGAGTGGCAAGAAATGTTCAAAGATGAATAGCACGAACCTACAACTAAGATTATGCTACCTAGCAAAGCTATCATTCAGAATTGAAGGTCAGATAAAAGAGTTTCACAGATAAGAAAAAGCTAAAGGAGTTCATCACCACCAAACCAGTATTATATGAAATGCTGAAAGGTATTCTTTAACAAGAGGAAGAAAAAAGTAAAGATAAAAATTATAACAACAAATACATATCTATCAACAAGTGAACCTAAAAATAAAGTGAATTAAAAATCTGAGGAACAGAATAAACTTGTGAATATAATAAAATCAGGGGAAAAGAGGAGTGGGGGTGCGGGAAGAGACTGGACAGAAATCGTACACGTATGGATGAGGACAATGGGAGGGAGGTAAGAGCAGAGGGTGGAATGGGAACCAAGTGGAGGGGAGCTATGGGAGTTAAAAGGAGAAACAATTATAATCATCTGAACAATAAAGATTCATTAAATTAAAAATAAATAAAGAAATTGCCGAAACCGGTTTGGCTCAGTGGTAGAGCGTTGGTCTGCAGACTGAAAGGTCCCGGGTTCGATTCCGGTCAAGGGCATGTACCTTGGTTGCAGGCACATCCCCAGTAGGGGGTGTGCAAGAGGCAGCTGATCGATGATTCTCTCTCATCGATGTTTCTAACTCTCTATCTCTCTCTTCCTCTCTGTGAAAAATCAATAAAATATATTTAAAATAAATAAATAAAAATAAAGAAATATCTTCATAACCTGAAAAATTCAGTCACAAAATACAGTCAAACATCAATTCTCGAACATCTGCCATCTCGAACAATTTGCTTTTCAACTTGACAACCCTTTCATGCTGATAGCTATATGATCAGTCACAAGGCTCTCAGGCAACAAATAAAGGAGAGAATGTGTGAATATTTGTCAGTTAACCCAAGTTAAAATCTCAGGATATTGTGTTGTAAATATTTTCTTTTTTGTTTTTGTTGCTGCTTGTTATTAAACTTTCATTTTTTATTATACATTTCCTTGCCTTTTTGTTCAATTTTCATTTATATTTCAAGTCCTTTTTGTTTTTAAAGTGTTTATTTATAGATCCGTCAATACATTATACTTGTACTACCTATATACAAAAGGCTAAGCTATTGACCTATTGTCTGACCATGTGGTAACTATGACATGCACTGACCACCAGGGGGCAGACACTCAACCCAGGAGCTGCAGAACTGCTGTGACTTGGCAGCAGCAGTTGTCATTCTCGGGTGATGCACCCTGAAACCAAAGAGGAAGCCAATTTCTCGAGGGCCACACTGGGACGTTGTCGGCCCCAAAACTGGTTTACTGCACTCTTGATTTGCATTCTAAATAATGTACACAACAACTTTGCAGAGTGCCCTCTCACACTAGGGACCCCTCGGGGGATACTGGAGAGCCAATTTCTGCCAATCCCCACAGGCCAGGCCAAGGGACCCCACCTGCTGGAAGGATTTCCCCCCCACACTCCAAAGATGCCCTTCAAGCCGTGGAGGAGGGACTGTGGGGGATTGGCTCCAGGGTGTTGTCCGCCCCACCAGCCACTTTCTGATTAATTTCCTTTCAATGTGCATGAACCCATGCATCAGGTCACTGGTATACATATGAAAGGTTAAAACAGGGAATCATTTGGGGGTCTGAAAAGGGTTAGTTCAATTTACATTGTTTCTAATGGGAAAAAATGATTCAATTTTTGAACAGCCTTTTGAGGTTCCACTGTAATTCAATAAAATTTTCATTGAACAAACTTACTGTGCTGCAGGCACTGGACTAGATACCAAAGTGAGTGGGATATGTTCTCCAGGGGCTTATTTTTCTCAGAGAGGAAGGCAGGCAAACAACCAAACATGTAAACAACAAACAAAACACAAAACAATCACTGCTACGAGAGAAATTTAACTAGTAAAAGCGGTTCTTTTTTTTTTTTTTCTTTTTTTTTAATTTAATGAATCTTTATTGTTCAGATGATTATAATTGTTTCTCCTTTTTATTCTTATAGCTCCCCTCCACCTGGTTCCCATTCCACTCTCTGCTCTTACCTCCCTCCCATTGTTCTCATCCATAGGTGTACGATTTCTGTCCAGTCTCTTCCCGCACCCCCACTCCCCTTTCCCCCTGAGAATTATCAGTCCACTCCCTTTCTATGCCCCTGATTGTATTATATTCACCAGTTTATTCTGTTCCTCAGATTTTTAATTCACTTTATTTTTAGGTTCACTTGTTGATATGTATTTGTTGTTCATAATTTTTATCTTTACTTTTTTCTTCTTCCTCTTGTTAAAGAATACCTTTTAGCATTTCATATAATACTGGTTTGGTGGTGATGAACTCCTTTAGCTTTTTCTTATCTGTGAAACTCTTTTTATCTGACCTTCCATTCTGATGAGCTTTGCTGGGTAGAATAATCTTAGTTGTTTTTGCTATTCATCACTTTGAATATTTCTTGCCATTCCTGTCTGGCCTGCATACTTTTTTTTTTTTTAATTGATTATGGTATCACATAATTGTCCTTATCCCCCCCCCCCCCATTCCCATCCCAACCCCCTCCCTACATATGCCTCCACCCCCCTGTTGTCCATGGCCACTGGCTAGGCCCATATGCATGCACACAAGTCCTTTGGTTGATCTCTTCGCCTATCCCCACCCTCACCTACTTTCCCTCTGAGGTTTGAGAATCTGATCGCTGCTTCTCTTTCTCTGGGTCTGTTTTTGTTCATCAGTTTATGTTGTTCATTATTTCCTGTAGATGTGTGAAGTGGTTATCTTTTTAAGCTGAGATCTGAATGACAAGAAGACAGCATGCAGCATCATAAAAGCCCTGTGGTGCAAGAGTGCCACATTTTCAAGAGTTCCAAAATTCTGCCCTTTGGAGGTATTTTTTTCCTACTATTTTAGTTGCATGTTAAGTGTTAATAATCTGAGAGAAAATGTAGGTCTATGATGGCCAAGGAAAGGATAATTATCAACGTAGTATTACTGCTTTGCATGTTGAGTAAACATACCAGATAACATACGTGGCACTTCAAAAAACAAGCATTAACCAGGGAAGAGAGACATTTGCTTCTGTTCCATGAGACACATTCACAAGTTTCCATTTAACTCTTAAATTTGCTAAACAGTTTTTGAGAAACTATACCTAGATCAAAGATTCCCTGCAGCTTTCAAGTCAAAGTCTCAAGTACTAAAAACTCAAGACTTGATTGCAAACAAGAAGGCCTATTGCAACTCCTGATTATATAAAAAATAAATTATATACACACACAATATTTTTCTCCAAAGCAGGGTAAAAGGAAAGTGAGCAGGAGGAAGTCAGGGAGATTGAATGCATAGAAAGGCACACAGGATAGAGATTAAATGTCCAGAAATACAGAATTATTAGTTGTGTTTCAACCCCAAATCAACCTCTTAATGTTATCTTGTTGAACTCAGCTAAGCAATAGACACTGAAGAGGGTTTTCCCTTATTTCAGGTCTGGAGCTATTAACAAAAATTAAATTTTAAAAATTTCACTCTTCATTAAGCCTCTGTCTTCATTAACACAAAGATCTTAAAAGCAAAATAGAAAAAGAGGGTCAGAAATGTTTAAGTCAGTTGTACAGCGAAGAAATAGTATCATGACACCTTTCAATCAAATAGGACTCTAAAAAACTCAATCTGAGTCTATTAAAAGCCTGTCACATCTGCCAGTGGCAGAGCAAGGAGCTGGACAGACAAGCTGTGGCTCTCTCTCTTCACTGAAGCAGGCAGGGATCTTGTTCTGTCGGCTCTTCTTTCATCCTGAAATCTGAAAGGGCTTTCATATCTAGCAAGTCATTATTTCTATAGACAGATAAGCTAATGTAAGTAAGTTCCCCACCTTTAGAGGGGAGGAAATACCTCTCTTGCTAATTTAAACCCAAATGCCACCTTGCAATTATTCTACTTGTAAAATATTTTGTACATTTTGATGAAAGAAGTTATTGATAAAGAGCAAGGTTAAGAGCCTAGAACCTGACAATAAGGAATTAATAGGTAGATGTGATATGGGGCAAGTTTTTTAACATGACCAAAGCTCAAGTCCTTTATCTATAAATTGGAAGGACAAGAAAGAGCAGATCCAGACTTTACTGAGAACTGAAATTTAAATGACCCACACTAGGCTCTCAGAGTCTGCATTAAATTAACATTAATAAATGCATTCTTGTAAGCTAAGCTGTAGTTATCAAGCAGGCAATTCTGTTCCCCAGAGGACATTTGGCAATGACTGGAGACATTTTCCGTTGTCACATCTGCACAAGTCAGGGATGCTAAACATCCTACAACGAGCGGGACAGCTCTGCACTTAACATATTCAATAACAATGTTTCAAGTTGAAATCTTCCTCTCGGCCAATATGCCACTCAATGGCAACACAGACGTAAATCAAGGTCCCAAGAGATACACTTGTGCGGGAGGCCAAAACTACTCCTGAAATTTAAAGCGAAGTTTGTATCTGTGGTCACTCTCATCTTCCCTGCTCATTACACATAAGCCTGCTCAGGCCTCTCCTAGTTCCAGGAAGACACCAGGCTTGTCCAGCTTCGGGGCCTTCGCACTTCTGGTTCTCACTCTCCTTGGGACACTCTTCCCCCCAGATCGTCCCATGCTGGCCTCTTCCCCTTCTTGTGTAAGCTTCCTATGTGGCTTCCTTAGGAAAGCCTTTCTGCCCCACCCTCCCTGCTTCCATTCTCCGTACAGCACTGACAGAAACCCTTTAAAAATTAAGTTTACATGTTTACTGCCTGTCCCACCCACTGAAGTAGAAGCTTTTATCTTCATCGCTCACCTGGACGAGTGCGCCCCAAGAGTTGCGAATAAATAGTCATTAGATCAATGACTGCATGAATTTTGAAAGGGGTCTGGGGACTCTCCAATGGTTGTGAATTATCACATTCGAAGCATAAAGGACACAACATAAGTGATAGGTGAGGGTTCTACGGCTCAGGCAGAAGTGACAGGTGCATCCCCCGAGAAACCCCAACTGAGCACCTCAGAACCTGGCCCACCTCCGTCGGTACAAAATGGGGTGAAGGGGCGCCGAGCTGCACCCGAAAACCTCGCCAAATGGCTGGATGGCCGGCCAGAGCGACGGGAAAGTGGCCGGCAAAGCCGCAAGGGAAGTCAGTTTCCGACTTCACGCCGCGGAAGCCGCTCCCACCCACAACCTGGCCACGCGCCGCCCGCCCCGCCGAGGAGGCGCGGGGCCGGTGTCCCGGGGTGCGGGCCGCCTCACCTGCAGGTGAACTTGAAGGCGAGGAGCAGCACGCAGCCGAGCACCAAGGCCGCGCCGAGCAGCTCCGGGCGCCGGCGCGCCATGAGGAAGGCCCCGCGCAGTCCGCGACGGAACCGGTCCGCCGAGGACGCTCTGGCCGGCTCCGGGCTGAGGGAGCCGGAGCCCGCTGGGCCGGCGCCGCCACCCTCCTCCTCGGCGTCGTCGCTGCTGCTGCCGCCGCTGCTGCTGCCGCTGCCGCCGCCGCCGCCGCGGCCTCCGCATTCCGACATTACATGCTCTCCGTCGCCAGCTTTATACCGCCGCCGCCGCCGAGGGCCCAAGGGCCCGGCCCGGCCCGTCGTGCCCCAATCCCGCAACTCGTAGTGCCCGCTAACCGTGACCCTCCACGTCAGCCCAGCCGCCGCCGCGGCTCCCGCCCCCGAGCAGGCGGCCCCGCCCTACGCCCTCGGAGTCTGCGCGGACGCGGACACCGCCCCGTAGCCCCGCCCCCGGAAGGCCTCGCCCCCTCGACCTTGGCACCGGCACCGCCTCCCGGCCCCGCCCACACGTTCTGAAGCCCCGCCTTTACCCTGCGGGCCCCGCCCTCCGCCCACAGAGCATGCGCTAGACCAAGCACCGGGCCCCTCCCGCCCCGAGGTCCTCCCGCCCCGAGGTCCTCCCGGTGTCCACAAACGGAAACGTCGTACCCGGAGCGTCTCTGCCTGGCGCACCGCGTTTTAAGAGCCGGGATGGTAACAGAACACGTGCCCACCCGTCTCACTACAGTCCCCGGAGGAAGTAGGTGCCGTCTGTGAGCTCCGCTTCACGTAGGTCGTAGGGAAACACGTGCGGAGGCGAGAAGTGTCCGAGAACACGGGAGAGAGGCGGGGAACCACCTGTTCCTCGGCACCGGTCTGCACGCCTGTAAAATGGGGTAATAGCAGTAACTCGCTCTCAGGGCTGTTTTGAGAATTAAATGAGGCAACTCACGGAAATGCCTGTCAACCTACCGTCATTTTGCTATTTGTTTTCTATATCTCACATCTTTTTTTATCCTTTACTTTTTTTCTTTTATAGTAAGTGGATATTTTCTAGTATACCATTAATTCCTTTAATGATTTTTAAACTTTTTTGTTATAAGGGAAAGTTGCTCTAGGGATTACAGTATACACTTTTTTTAGAATTTCCGGAATGATTACTTCAGATTTATAAATTTAGTGATACAGAAACTGCTCCAATTTAGCTCCATTCCCTCCTCTCTTTTGTTACTATGACTCTTTTTTAATCTGTTATGTTGCAAGCCCAATAAAACAGTGTTTATATTGTTTTATATAATCTTGTTTAAAGAAGAGGATATGAGAACAAATATGTGATACCTTAATCAATAAAGAATTTTTTTTAAAAACAAGTTAAGTGGAAATACATATTTGTAGTTTTTAAATTTATATTAACCTTCTTACTTGCCATTTCTAGTTCTCTTTTCTTTATGTAGATTTGAGTTACATGCTAATGAAGACAAATATGGTAAGAAGTCGCCAGTTCCCCATTCACAGTAGGTTGCTATTACAATCTACCCTACACTTCCATAAGACGTCTGTTCTTTGCACAGGCTTTTTATAAGGTTCAAAGTACTTATGCTGCCTGTAGGTTAATCTCCTGAGACCCACAAAGCTTGTAGGCCAGGAAACTACCCTACACTAATAAAAGTATGGCCCTTTCCTCTCTCTTTTTAGTCATCTGGCTGCTGCTCTGGCACTAGAATATTCTGAAACAATGATAAATGCAGAATACAGCAGGTTGTCAGGGTCAGACTATACTGCTCTTCAAGGCTAGGTTAGCCCTAACTTGTCCACATCAACCAGAAGATGAGCTTTTGTAACCACTTTTTATACCCTGACCCAGTGGTAGAGTTAGCATAGGAGGCAAGAAGAATATTTGGGTTTTATACATATTTTTAAAAACACACTTTGAAGCTGTTAGCAGAGAGCCCTCAACATTCATTTCCACTTAGTTCCAAAGTCCCAGGGACCTGTATCAATTGAGAAACTGAAGAAAACATTTCCCAGTAACAGGTTTCAACATATCCCACATATTAATCCTTTCTTAGAACCAGAGAGAAATAAGGTTCGTTATTTTTTTAAAAATATATTTTATTTGTACAGAGAGGGAGAGAGATAGAGAGTCAGAAACATCGATGAGAGAGAGTCATTGATCAGCTGCCTCTTGCACAACCCCTCCTGGGGACATGCCCGCAACCAAGGCACATGCCCCTGACCGGAATCGAACCCGGGACCTTTCAGACGCTCTATCCATTGAGCCAAACCGGTCCTGGCAGGTTCGTTATTTTTTAAAAGCTCCTAAGCATTGACTTAACCAACGGGGGGGGGGGATATGTAAAAACAAGGTACAGGTTGGCAGATAATAAAGAGGGAAGCCTGTACTCCATAAGCCTGGGTATTCTGGACAATGGTATTCTCTCCAATGTTTCTTGGAGTCTTTTGTATCAAGACCCCAAAATTAGCTTCCCAGAAATTGGCATTTATCCTTTGTAGAAGTCAACTAAAGAGTGTTTGAAACCTGCACTACCCGGGGGAGTGTTCTCCTTTCGTTTCCCAATTGATGCAGGTCCCTGGAACTAAGGGGAGACAACGTGGAGGACTCTGCAAACAGTCGTCAAAGCAGACAGCCCAGGGAAGGTGAGGGTGGTGGGCAGAGGCAAGCACCTCCAGCACCAGCCTGCCTGCCCTGAGTGCCTCCGTCACAGAGGGGGAGGACTGGGCTCAGGAAAGAGTCCCTGAGAGCAAGGACCCACTTGCAACCTCCCATAGCCTTCCTAGGGCAGCTTATTGCAGCCAATAAAACATGTACATGAATATTCATATTCACAAGAGCCCAAAATAGCGAAACAACTCAAATGTCTATCAACAGAGGAATGGATAAAATGTGAATGAGTAAAATGGAGTATTATTCAGTGATTAAAAGGAATGAAATATTCATAACCTGCTACAACATGGATGGACCTTGAAGACAATATGCTCAGTGAAAGCCAGTCACAAAAGGTCACATTATGTGTTGTTTCCCTTAGAACAGGCAGATCCATACAGACAGAAAGCAGGTGGTTGCCTATGGCTTGAGTAGGAGGGCAAGGGGGGGAATTAGGTTGTGGGTTTTTTTTTAAGGAATGAAAATATTCTAAAAACTCTTTGTGGCCCTAACCAGTTTGGTGGATAGAGTGTCAGTCTTTGGATTGAAGGGTCCCAGGTTCTATTCCCGTCAAGAGCATGTACCTTGGTTATAGGCACATCCCCAATAGGGGGTATGCAGGAGGCAGCTGATCGATGTTTCTCTCATTGATGTTTCTAACTCTCTATCCCTCTCCCTTCCTCTCTGTAAAAAATCAGTAAAACATATTTTTAAAAATACCTGAGTGTGATAATTGTATCACAACACTGCTAAACACTCTGCTTCTCGCATCTTACTATTTGGAATATACTGAAAACCATGAGATTATACTTTAAAATGGTAGTTTTTGTTGTGCCGGTCTGCACGCCTGTAAAATGGGTAATAACAGTAACTCGCTCTCATTTTCTTAAATGTTGGGGGAAAAATGCATCCTGTGGAGATAAACATATCCAAGTAGATATGCCAGTGGTTACAGTTTCCCCTGCTGTGAGTATTGGACTTTTGCTCTTTCATACTTTACCCACCCCATTCCCATCACAAGACTCTGTCCTCCTCCAAAATTACCCCTTTGGTATAGGATAGAGTGTAACTTCACCTTGAATAATTCATTAGCTTCGTAATGCTGAGACCAAGGCTGTGGCAGGGGGGGTTCTTGGTGCAAACCAGAGCAAGTCACTGGCTCACTTAGGTAGAAATGGAGTTTACTGAAGGATGGCTGAGAGCACAAAGAATCAACTGCAAGAAGATTGAAAACCAAGTACAGAAAATGCGGACTGAAAAACAAGACTCTCACCTAGATCACTCACAGGATCTCCATCTCTGTTTCAAGCCTATATTCCCAAGGTTAAGACAACCAGCTTTTTAATTTGTAAACTGAGACGAATCACCAGGGAAACTTTTTTAAATTTACTATTCTCCCTGGAAAAAGAGGACAAAAGTAGACTGGGAGAAGTACGAAGAGAGAAATTAATGAAGACTGTCAAACTAGGAAGACCTAGCAGAGTAGTAATATTGCCAGACAGTGTCCCTCCTAACAAATAAGATGCATTCCTAATGCACCTGCCAAATTAAACTGGTCCCACCGCCTTCCCACACACAAGGGAAAAACCAGTCATTCCTACAACCTTCAAGGAGTCACGGGACTTGCTTATCACTGCAGTGCCGATTCTGCTAAACTCTGCTGCTCTCATCTCACTACTTGAAGCTGTGCCCTGCCCTCCACCCTGGCTGGACTCTATAAGCAAACATCTGTTTCCCCCAAACCCCACTCATGTAAGGTCATGGTGAAGCAGTGACTGCCTGAGTGTTTGAAGGGTTGGTACATCACAACCTGGCAGATCCCCCCAAACCCCACTCATTCAAGGTCATGGTGAAGCAGTGACTTTGCCTGAGTGTTTGAAGGATTGGTACATCACATCCTGGCAGATCCGTTTGTCAGAGATTCAAAGTTTGTCAGCCATTCTCCCTAATCCCTCATCCTAACAAGGACTCTGCGCTGGCAATGTCCTCATGAGTATCTGCCACCCACACCTGGATGATGACTTTTCTCCCTAGCTGGCTGAGTTCCAGCTTCTGAAACGGGTTAGTCTCAGAGAGGACAGCTTAGCTCTGTCTTTGTCTCTGTCAGTCCATATCTTCAGGGATCTTTTAACAATCAAACATCTATCGAGGGAATTAGGCTAGACACTTGTCTCACAACAATTCTTTGTGGGGGAAAGCATCACACCAAAAACTAAAAGACATCTACATATAAAATCTTTATTACAGGCAATATTGGTCCATACACTACACAATACCAACAGTACAAGTTTAATCTTTCAAAATCATCATTTTAACAGCAAAAGACCAAGAAATAAAATTTAAGTCAGCTGATTATTTTCAAAATATTCTCAATGCACATTTTTATCCTCAGTTCCCTTATATAGTGAAACATTCAAATAGAGAAAAATACCCCATTTAACGTATACTAGTGTTAAATGGTTATTTGGCTTAAAATCTGAGTTAAGAAAATCCTTTTTAGCAACCTACATACAGATAAGTAGCAAACTTTATTAAAGAAATTCATTCTGTTTAAAATGTGTAAAGAATTTCATCCATCATGTGTTCTGATTCTAGTACAAGTATTTAATCTCTCACCATCATGGTTCTTATCTGAAGGACCATCTCAAGGAATTGTCCTAGACATAACCTTATCCTCTTCCCCAACACACTTCATCCAAAAATCTGTTCAACAGATGGCAACCGGGAAGCAGTCAC